TTGTGGGTTGACTTCGACATAAGAGCGAAAGAAATGAGAGAGCTTCAATCAAAGGAAAAACTACTAAAGTTGAAGTCAATTGATCGCAATTTGTGCGAAAGTTGCATCTTTGACAAACAAATAATGGTGAGTTTTTCCAAAGTAGCAAGGGAACGAAAGACAAAAAAGTTGGAGTTTGTTCATACAAACGTGTGGGGACCCACTCCCTGTCATTACTTGGAAGCTCAAAGTACTATGTGACATTCATTGATGACACGAGCAAAAAGGTATGGGTCTATTTTTTTGAAAAATAAATCTTATGTTTTTTATACTTTTAAAAGGTGGAAAGGCATGGTTAAGAATGAGACAAATTTAAAGGTAAAGTGCTTGGATCAAATAATGGGAGAGAGTACATAGATGAAGGGTTCAAAGAACATTGTGCAAATAATGGGATCAAGATGGAGAAGATCATTCCTGCAACTCCTCAACAGAATGGTATCGTCGAAATGATGAACAAAATCCAAGCATGAGATTACATGCTAAACTACCACATACATTTTAGGCTGACGCAATTAATACCTAGCCTACTTGCTCAATGGAGGACCCTCTGTACCTTTGAATTGCAAGATCACAACAGAAGTTTGGAATGGCAAAGAGGTAATATTCTTTTTTAAGAGTGTTTAGTTGTTTAGCCTATGTTTACAATAACTATACTTTTGGAACAAAGTTTGATGCTAAATCTAAGAAATATTTTTTCATTAATTATGGTTACATCGAGTTTGCTTATCATTTCTAGGATGACCAAAAAATGCAAGATTATGAGGAGCAAAGACGTCTTCTTCAACGAAGATGTAATGTGTAAGGATAGGCTCAACAAGAAGTTCCTTTGAAAGACTTCCCAATGAATGACATGCAAAACAATGACCACGAAGATCAATAAAATATAGCTCCAAAAGTTGAACCACAAATGCTCGTGTTTGAACCCAGAAGATCTTCCAAGACTATAAGAGCACCACAAAGGTACTCCCCTTCATTACATTATATTTTACTAACTGATGGTAGTGAATAGAAGACAGAGTGTTATGAAGAAGCAATGCAAGTTGATGACTCAATCAAGTGGAAGCTAGCTCTGAAGAATGAGATGGACTCATTATTAACAAATTAAACCTGAAAGTTAACAGAGCTACCACAAGGGAAGAAGGCATTACAAAACAAATGGGTTTATCGGATGAAAAAGGAACATGATGGTAGCTAGCGATATAAGGCAAAGATTAGTCGCGAAAGGATTTCAACGGAAAGAAGGCATTGACTATATTGAAATTTCCAGTTGTCAAGTTGACTACAATAAAAACAGTACTTGGGGTAATGGCAAAAGAAGACCTTCATCTGGAGCAGTTAGATGTAAAGACATCGTTTCTTTATGGAGAATTGGATGAAGAAATTTATATGCAACAACCACAAGATTTTAAAGTACAAAGAAATGAGAGAATGGTGTGTGAACTTCAAAAGAGCATATATGAGCTAAAACAGACGCCTAGACAATGGTAAAAAAAGTTTGATGGGTTTATATGTAATAACGGTTTCCTAAGATGCCAAGTAGACGAGTGTTATTTCAAAAAACTTGATAACTCTTATATCATCTTATTACTATATATAGATGACATGTTGATTGCAAAGGCTTGTAAACAAGAAAGACACAAGCTAAAAAGGCAATTGTCAAAGGAATTTGTTATGAAGGTTTTGGGAGCTACAAAACCTTGGTATGAAGATAACTAGAGATAAGGCCAAAAGTTTCTTGAAGTTGTCACAAGAAAAGTATATACAAAAAGTACTCAACAGGTTCAACATGGATGGAACAAAGCCAATAAATATACCTTTGGTTAGTCACTTTAAACTATCCAAAGATCAATCACCTATAACAAAGCATGAGTAAGACTACATGGCCTAGGTACCTTATGCATTAATGATTGACAGTCTTATGTATGGTTACAATAATTCCACACTTTATTCTATTAAGAACCCTACACCACTACCCAGTCTAATTCCTATCAAATACCCAAAACCCAGCTCAGTTCTTATCAATTTGGAAGTGGTTCCTATCAGCTAGTAAGGAGCTGATATGGTTACAACAATTCCTAGAAGAACTAGGTTAGAATTATGAGAATAGCGTTTTGTATTGTGATAGTCAAAGTGTCATTTGTCTAGCAAAATAGCTAGTCTACCATGCTAGGACAAAACACATACAGGTTCGATATCATTTCATATGCTCATCTTTGGAAGAAAGAGTTATAGCTGTCTAGTCGATGATCAATCTTTAACACAAATACAAATAAGTGTTTTAAATAACTCAACACTAAAAAATTAACAAAACAAGTGTGGTGGTGGGCATGGTGTTCAACACGGTGGTGGTATAGAGGTGTGAAGGTGCATAACATAGAAAAGAGTTGTAGTGGATAGTGGTTGGCTTGGCCAGTGGCTGGTGGCTGGTGGCCGGTGGCCTAGTGGAAGCATTCACCTAATTAAGCCTCTTCTCCGACAAACTCGCTAGGAGTCGAGTTCTTTTCATTCTATTCAGCGAAGGAGAACCGACGTAGGAAGATTTAATAAACTAATCCTACTCTTCCTACATAAGATGCTATCCGCCCCTGAGCTTTTATTGTTAGAACTTAATAAAGTCTATGATAAACAAAGAGCATGAAGATTTGAGTATATAATGACCAAATTCATGATGAGTAAAGTGAAAACATTTTATCCCAAAATTACAAATGCATAAATTTGTTTTTGGTACCTTCCGTAAGGAGATGCCCCCAAATACTACTCAGAACTTCACTTGAATATAGGCATATGAACGCAAATGCCACAAATTTAGAGATGGTAATAATATCCTGCAAAACGAAAAATGAGAGAGGATAAACTGAAGGAAAATAAAGTTTACTTGAATATGACAACAGAGATGTTGCTTGATCATAACATTTTAAATGGTAGAGAATTTAGGAAATAAAAGGGGGACAGTTTTGCATTTTCTTTTTCTCTTTTTCTAGAAGAAAGCAAGATGTGAGAAAAGATAAGAAAACATTAAACATACCAACTTTATACACATAGTTATGGAGCAAAGAATAAACATAAAAATAAACAAATTAAATAAATAATAATGAATAACGAAGCAATAAAAAATTTCTATGCATAATTTGTATGTGTATATTACTCAAATAATAAGGGATTCAAAGTCAAAGAATATTGTTTAGGCTTGTATGTGTATATTATTTTTATTTCAGTTATTCATGAATTCAATTAGTATAACTGAGTTCAATTATATCTTTGATGAGTAAGACAGATGGCTATTGAAATCAATTCCATTCCATTCATATTCTAATTCCTCTAATTTTTGGCTGTGTTTAATCTACCAATTCTATTCTTGGAAAATAAGATTGAAACAACTGAAAGTGCAAGGATTGATACTAGAAGAAAAATCAGAATAGAAACAATATCCGAAAAAGTAAATAATGAAGTAAAAAATGGAAAGCAGCCATACCCAAATGAATGCTACCCTTGGAATGCGGCTGAGCTAGCAAATTCTGGTCACCAATGAGGTTGAAAATTTGAAAACAGAACTTACAACGTCCAACTCAATGATGCATAAAGCAAAAAGAATGATATTCCAGGATGACTAAAGCACGTAACAAGATCCTTTTCTTCGCTTTCATTATCAAAGCTCAGATGCCAGATAAGAGAAGGAAGAAAAGCATTCCAATTAAAATAAAATAATGAAAATGAAGGAATACTCTGTTTTCGAAGGAACTTCACTTTATCTTTGCCTTCATCTTTAGGTGATGCATAGGAAAACATAAACAATTAAAAAGCAAATTAGAGCACAAGTTTCAACAAAAGAATGACTTCAACTGTACTGAACTTAATCAACACGAATAGCTTCAGCAAAGATATTGAACCCTGGGAAAAATCTAAATATTGATAAATTTGAATTAAATTTTTATTAACTCCTTTTAATAGATAATCCAAACACTCCATAGATAAGGATACTACAAAAATACATTTCATAAGATTATTGTAATATAGAATTAGAACGAGAAACTGATAACATAATACCAATAACACAAAGCTGGTATTTTTGAGGTATAAACTTTAATGAATGTCAACATAATCTTGTAATTTTAATTTTTAAAACACTAGTCATTAGCCCAACTATTAAGCTCTCAATTTCACTCTGCAAACTCATTCAAGGCAATTTGTTCATGGCCTCAGTCTCATTTGAAAGCATTTTCTCAAGGTAATTTTCATTCTCATTCAGAATACAAAACTCTCAGTACTATTTACTGGCCTGGGTCAATGTATGATTTTGATCCAACTGAAGTATACAGAAACAAAAATCCTCATCTCTCCGAGTCCCAAAACAACAGATTGAATTACAAAACAGAGAAATTGGCTCCTTAAACCATTTATTAATTTTAGAAAAAGAATGCATGCCAAATGACAACATTTTACACATGAAAATGTCCTACAAACCCTTCCAAACCATTATACATAAGCGTGTTCAACTATCTTTTGTATCCCTGCCAACACAAACCAAACTATTCCATGGATGGAAGCTGTTCGAGGATGAGCGATCAAGAGAAAAAGTCATTTAGAAAAAAAAAAAAAAAAAAAATCAACGCATGAAAACACAAATGAAAAACTGTATTGAATCCTTTGAATAAAACCTGTTGCTGCATACTAAACAATAAATCAAACTTATATTTTTCTCCTGTTTCCTTTATCCATTGTTGTAACATTTCCTTCAATATGGTACATATTCACAGTACATTTTAACTGGAACTGGAGAAAAGAAATGTATAAGACTTCTACGCAGCCACAGAATCAATTAACTCAAAAAATAGACCTCTCATGATTACTGGTATGGGTAGACCCATTAAAACAAAAAACCAAACTCGTAACTACAATACAAGGGAAAACATGGCATGGAAAATCAATGAATTTATTTCCCTTGAACAGACTGTTGCATAGAAAAAGAACACACCACTAAAATCAATCTAAAATACAAGATGGAGAAGCTCTCTGCTAGAAAATACAAACTGGATTCCTTTCCTCATGATCTGATTCTGCTGTGGAAAACTAAGACAAGTTTCTCTCACGCATAAATGATTCTATTTTCTCAACATCTTCAGCAGTATCAACACCATGGGCTTCATGGTCAACCTTTATCACCTGCAAAAAAACATATGGTTCAACTTTTGGGGTTTTGTATTCTGACAAGAAATGCCCCAATTTTGTATTCTGACAAGAAATGCCCCAAAACATTCTGTGTAATTCTTTAGAAGACTCATTCATGAAAAGTAGTATGATTTTGACGGCAGTGCAATCAAAGAAGTACTTAACCATGAGAACGTCTTGATGGCCTGAAAAAGAAGATACACCCCCGTCTTCAAAATTTCCAATGAACTAGCTTATATATTATTAAGTGCAGCAAAGAGAACGATTTCCAATACAACGACATGGCATCAATGCATATTGCACTGTTAACAATGAGCCTATATTTTTGGGCATCTGAAACCTTGTTCAGACTACATAATAACTGATTGCTTTTTAAAGATCCAAACCTCTATGAGTGGACCAGAATAAATATTTACATTGAACACTTATAATATGAACATATAGCCATTCTTGCAATGCAGTATTTCAAGCCACATGGAATAAAAAATCTTCCATATAAGTTAGGCATATTAATATTACTCCACCTTACACAATGCAGTCGCCAAACAGGTTATAACATGAAATAAGGATTAAAACCTATGTGGTCATAGAAATGATCAAAAAGAAAATAGTTTACTAGCAATGCTATTAAGGAGACATCCAAATGATCAAATTTCCATGACACATCCAAACACTTCTGACAGTAGGTTTTAAAAAATTGATGCATTACTGAAACTATCGTTTGATGACTTAATATAAAAGAAGTCACTCAAGGCACAATTACAGAAAAGAAGTCTACTATACCTTCATCTTATACCCATTCTCAAGAACTTTCAGCTGTTCAAGATCTTCTTCTAGTTGAAGAGGGGTAGGTTGAAGCTGTGGATATATCTTCAGAAACTTTGAATCATAGCTCTGGCCCAACAATAAAACACTATAAATTCACTGGAAGATAACATAATATGACAATAATGTTACCATCACAACAAGAGGAAAGTTTCTTTTTTTCTTTCAAGAAAAGGAAAAGGGTGGAGCCATTTTGACACCTGAATTCCAAGATGAAGCATATATGGAAACTGTGGATTAACCCTTCCTGACCTGTATCAAGTAGTAGGCAAGTTCATCAACCAGCCCAAGACGTTATAAAAAAATAAAATAAAATAAAATAATAATAATAATAATAATAATAGTAACAAAGTACACGCAGAGATATATATTCTCACTTGTTATATGGAATCAGTCCCCTTGAAAAATAAATCGCATAACCACGATTATCCACCACACATTTCACTCGATTTGGATCAAATGCATCTTCAGGTTTTAAAGATGTGACAGCAGTGCTAAAAACTGCATCTGGAGCTGCCTGCAGCAGAACAAGTCAACTTCAACATGAACTCAAGGCATAAAGTATTATGCGAATATGATAACACAGTCAAGAGATCAAACTACAGATTTGTAAAACATATAGTCAAGCTCACTCAACCTATATCAGGATGACAAAGTAAGGTCAAAGGACACATCATGTTGTTCAAAGAAACTTTCTCTGAATTATTTGGATTATGATGGGCCATATTAACTTCTTTTTCTTAAATAAAAGCATATGCATGCTAAAAAAAAAAAAATACCTGCAGAGCTTTAACAATGCCATCTATTATCTCTGGTTCTATAAGAGGCTCATCCCCTTGAATATTGACTACAATATCATACTTCTTATCAAGTTTTTCTAGCGCTTCATTGCATCGTTCAGTACCTACAAGTTAAACAAGATTATTAGCAAATCCAATCATGACATAAAATTTGCAGTGAAATTATTACCATTTTGGCAAGATTCTGAAGTCATTATCACATCAGCGCCAAATCCTCGGCAGCATTCTGCAATCTTTTCGTCATCCGTTGCCACAACTAGATCATAAGAGCACAAAATGAGACATTAGAAACACAGACTGCAGCCATAGGAACAAGCACAGAGATAAAATAACAAAATAAAATCTAAAACACCAGAAGCTCGAGATGATTTGCTAGAACTAATATTAAAAGTTGTAACATCAGAAAACGCTCTATCTTTTATAATTTCAGCTATGTTCACTACTATATCCAAATGAAACGTTGAACAACATTGTTAACCTAAGGATGTCTCGCCTTCAAAATAATCGTACAACGAAGAGAGGGGAAATTTACTCCAAAAGGCACTACTCGTATCTAGATGTGATGCAAACAGAATGTTGAACTAACAGAAGCTAGCAATTGAATTTAGGATCCAGAATCAAATTCAAAAACAACTTCTCCACGAGTACTCACTCTGAATAGCTCAAAGCAATACCAACATATCTCAAGGACAAAGTTGATATTACATGAACCACAAATTTTAACATAGTGCATCATTTAATTGACACAAAAATCATGCAAGGAAATATATACAATACCCAAGTGATCCAATGTGTTTGCCAATTTGGATCTTTCCCATGTTCTCTGCAAGACACCATCGAAAACAGTGAGTCAAACAGCTTCAGTTCACTAGATCCTAAGATACTATTAAAACCTATAATTTCACACAAATAACCAAAATCACCAGAAGCTTCTTCATTACAAAACTAATGGATAAAAAAAAAAAAAATGAAACTTTATTATGGAATTGTTTTTAATACTGCTGCAAACCCAATTCATATTAAATTAAAAAGGATTGAAATTAAAAAAAAAAAAAAAAAAATGTTTTGAAGAGGGATCTAATTGAGAAAGCCAAAAGGGAACCTGGATCATGGGCTTGCCGAGGATATTAACGAGGGGTTTGCCCTGGAACCGAGAGGAAGCGAAACGGGCGGGTATGATGCCCACAACCCGACTCCGCAACTTCTTCGATTGACCCAGATAAGCGCGTGCTCCGATGGCTACAGCAATGGCTGCTCCGGCCACAATGCCGTGCACGATCCATGATTTAGTTGAGGAAGATGAAGATTCAGACGATGAACAAATTGACATTGGGATCAGATTTAGCTCTCACACTCTCTTTGGGCCACTTTCACTGAAGTATTGTGTTCGTTTTTATTTCTTCTTGTTACCTCTCTTTCAATTTTCTCCCCGGCAGCAGCAGCTGTAATGCAGAGAAGGACGGGAGCTTTTCTGGGCCACATGGGCCGACGGGGCTAGTGGGCTTCCAGCTCGGTCCACCGGAAACCGATGCCCAATTGATAATCGGACTCAAGCAGCGAATAAGAACAAAAAAAATCTCATCAAAAAGAGTTAATTACATTAATCTACCCGAAATTTAATTAAATAACAAAATTTATATCAAGTTTCAGAAATAATGTAATTCTTTTTATTGATTAAGCTTTCATTGTTAAAATAAATGAGTAATTCGAAATTATATATATATTATGGGTCCGTTCTTTAATGTACAATAATTACTAAATTGTGTCTTATTTATTTAAAAAATATTTTAATAATTGTATTAATTAAGAATAAGATTTACTAAAAATAAAATTATGTATTGTACTCTTAAAAAAAAGCGTTAAATAAACATATCAAATGTAAAATATTTGTGAATTAAAAGCAACGGAGTTACTAAAGCAAGTAAAGCTTCCCTCTCAAAGCTCTAACAGACATAGGCATGGCAATGTTCCCCGAGATTTCAGGGACCCGTCCCATCCCGCCTCGTCCCATATGAGGCGGGAAAGCTCCAGTTTTTTCGAGGATAGGGACAAGGGTGGGGGGTGTTTTAATCCCCGTCCTCGGGGATGAGGCGGGGGTGGGTGATGCCTTTTCCCCAACCCGCCTCGTATATAATATATAAAATTAAAAAAATGTATATATATATATTTACTTTTCACTAATATCCTTACATTTTACCTAATTACACAATTATCCTACCTATATAAACCCATATTTTTCTAATTTTTTTCACCCTAAACAATTGAATAAGAATAAATCCTAACCCATATTTATGTATAATTAATTATGTTTAAACGATTAATTTAAGTATTTATCATGTAGACGAGAATTAACTATTGTGTTTGGTAATGTTAAATTAATTTATGTTTATATAAAATTAACGGGACAAGGACAGACCTCTAATATTTCCCTTTAAGGTGGTGAAGAGAAATTTATGTCATCCCCGTAACAAGGATGAGACGGGTAGAGAATGATTTTGAAAATAGAGATGAGTACGGTGAATGAGATTCCCATCCCGCGCCGCCCCATTGCCATGCCTAAATGGACAAGTACTCGAACAGTATGGGATGACGTTACCCACTGTCCACTGAACTTGATCGTGACATTCATGTTGAATGGAAGGGCACACAGATTTCAAAGGCCAAGAGAATGGCGCGGGACAGAAGAGAATATATATGATATATCAGACCCTGACTGACACACCAGTCAAACTCATTAATGGCGCTACTTCTTCAACGTTAACTACAAGATAGATGGAGACATCAACATTGGAAAAGCTAAACGCTGAAGTTATAGGACGCCTCTACCTAACATCAGACACTACAACTCTACAAGAAGACCAAGCTAGCCACGCTCTCTCTCTTATTTTGCCCACCAGTTTTAGTAAAAGATTTGCGATTAGTCTTTGGATGGAACCCAACATGATTTTCTGTTTGCCCATTCGCGTATTGTCAGCTGCAGTGTAATCAAATCACCATCTGGGGTTCAAAGTTTCAAAATTGATTGTGGAGTGGAGGTCTGAAACTTTGATTTGATTTTCTTCTCACAGCCGCTCGCCATTATTATGGTTCTATGGACCACACTTGTATGGGTAAACATTTCTTTGCTTAAAACTCATTCAGAACAAGACTAAATTTAATTCCTAAAACAGAATGCTTTACAGGTTTCTGTATTTCTTTGGATTCAAACAAATACTTGTCTGAGTTTAAAATCATTGTTGAAAAACACAAGATCATGAACAATTTTTAGCTCCAAAAAAAAAAAAAAAGAAATAGATACAGAAGGTGGTTTCTAAAGATCGTAGACAGAGCCAATTGTCCTTTATCTTCATCAGCTGAGTTCATCTCCATTTCTGAGGTGCTATTTCTCAATATGCATGTTTTTTAATGAGTAAGTGACTAAAATAAGATTGAACTTTAATGCAAAAAACAAAAACAATAGAGAAAATAATCAAAATCTACTGGTAAGAACCTTGGACAAATTCAGACTGTATGCTACCAAAACAGCAACTTTAGACAATTCCATTGAAGTTCATGTGAATGAACATTTCAAGACAAACCGCCTATCTTGACACATTCAACAATGGTCACTGTTTCTTTTCCAAAAGAGAATAATAAGAAAGATAAAACAAGTTAAGTTTCTTTGATAAGCTGAACTTCTGTTTTGAAGAGGAGAACACAGAGCGAGTCAAGCGAGAAGTACATAAACCCACCGGGCGAATGAGTCACAAACGACCCAAAACTCTTCCCCACCACGCAATGCCAGGCCGGCCCGTACGCTAAATCAAACTCCTACGATAAAACAAACGACGAAACATTCATTCAAACAGACTTTGTTGAAACTTGAAAGAAGGAGAGAGGTTCAGAATACAAAAACAAAAAAAAAACAAAAAACAAAAAAAAAAAAGGAACCTTTTTGAGGGCACGAGCCAGGTGGGTGGGATTGGGGCGCGAATTTTTGGGGGCTGAATCAACGAGCGATCTGACGAAATGCAGAGCACGTTGTTGCATGCAAACCGGCATGTCCGACGATCTCAACCGCACGTTGAGGCTGATCGCGGTGGCGGCTAACTTCACCTCCTCTGTGGCACGCCTTTCATGGGGTTGTTTTGCATGAACTTGTTTTTCCTTTTCCATTGAAGAAGGTTTGGCAGTTGTGTGAGAGTTGTTGAAGAAAATGTATTGATTTTGGTTTGAAACTTTGACCATGTAAACGAGGGGGAAACACTCATATACAAGGAAGTTTGCGTACTGGCTGCGAGGTGGTTAACTTTTGTCCATACAGATATGTACACGTGTTGTATTTTGATTAGGCACTCTTTTGTAAGTTTAATGGAAATGGTTTGGATATGACGGGATTGTGAGTACAAATACTGACACGAGGAAGGCATGGAAATGGTATGGTTTGATTTTGTTGACCTGAGTCAAAATCAATTTCTCATGTTCCAAAATTCGTTTATTCAATCTTATTAGTTAAAAAAATGACAAAAATATCTTAAAAGTATACAAATATACCCCTAACAAGTAAGAGTGAGCACGAGTAATGGGTAGAACCTGAATCTGCTGGTAGAACCGAAGCCAGAATCTATCCAGAACTGATACTGTGCGGATAGGTTTCGGTTCCATTTTATTGGAACCAACACTGTACGATTCCAGTTCTGATTCCTACCCAAAACCGAAAATGAAACTTAGGAAAAGAATCTAAAGCAGGTATCCGGCTTGGAACCTACTTGGAACCTGTTTGTGTTTTGGTTTTAATTGAGAAATTTTATGTGAATTGTCATAAATTGATTAAATTCAAGTGTTGCCTGGAGATTAGAGGATTTACGAGTCACATTGAACACAAATAAATGATTAATCAAAAGTTGAAAACTACTAAATGTAAGTTTTATTGATTTGTTAGGGGTGTATTTGTATACTTTTAAGATATTTTTGTCATTTTTTAAACTAATAGGGGGTAACTGATTTTTTTATAGGATACCCGGATAAGGAAACAGAACTTGTATTTCAGGTTTTAGTTTCTCGAATTTAAGAACCGGAACCTTTTGATTTCAATTTCGATTTCGGTTCCCTTTTTTGGGAATCTATACTATACAGTTCCAGTTTCAGTTCCCCCGAAAAATGTAGGGTACCCAAAATCGTTCACCCCTACTTATTACATATAAATAATTTATGGCAGGGATGACATTTTTAACTCCAGTTTATCGTGAAAAGATATTTTTGCTTCGTTTCGAAAACGTTGGATATTACTCCCATTTTTTTAATTCAAGCGTTAAAACTTAAATTGTAAAAGGACAATTTTGTCAATTCATCTCACATATATAATACTATGAAATAGTGATGCTATTGACCCCCATGTTTTATTTTTTAGACTATATTTTTAAATTACCATTTTATTCTTACTATTTAAGACATAAAAGAGTAGTGCATACTGCATAAACTCCATCCATAATAAAACCTTGTACTATAAATCTAAAAATTTATTTTCTATTTTAATCATAAATCCTAATTTGGTTATAAAAAAATGGAGATGAAATTTATGGAATAGAAAAAGTTCGACCAACAGCATGTAAGTACTAAATTCTTTGTTTTATTAAATTTTCTTTCTTTTTTTCTTATGACCAAGGGTAAGGGTGTGCAAAAAATTTGATATCCGACATCTGGTCTGCATCCAATCTGATCCGATCCAAAAAAATCAAATATCCAAAAAATTGGATCGGATTTGGATATCAATTTTTGGAAGATTCGGATTTTTGGATCGGATGCCGAATCAGCTCTACAAAGAAACCGGATATCTGGATCCAATCCGGTTTTGTCCATAACTACAAGTTTTAAGAAGTTATTTTGAGGTCCTATGTGAAAAGTGGTAAAGTATGTGGACTATTTAAATACAATGACAATTTTGGCAGTCAAAATGTAATAAAATTATGATGTGGTAAAGGTACTAAATAATAATGCAAAATTTCAGGGGGAAAATTGATATTTTTCATGCAAATTCGGATAAAGCCGGATATCCGGTTTATCCGATCTGAATATTCGGCTCGAATCAAAACTAGTTTGGATTCTGATCAGGTTTCATCTTGATCCGAATTTTCGGATCAGATCAGAAAAATGCAAAACCGAATCGGATATCCGGTTTTGCACACCCCTGACCGAGGGTGTCCAAGTTAGTTTACGTGCACTTCAACTAATCTTTAAACCTAGGACCTTGGAACTTCCGGCCGAGTAAGAGCTTCATTGCCTTTTTTTTTTTTAAATGACCAGAAGTGTTTGAGTCAGTTTATGTGCACCTCAACTAATCCCCCGAGACCCTGAAACTATCGGCTAGGTAAAAGCTCCAGTGGCTACCCCTATTAGCAACCTGGAACTACCGATCAGATAAGAGCTCCAGTGGTTACCCCTATTATCAACCGCAAAAGAACTCGAACTCAAGACCTTTTGAGTAATATACCCAAGAGTCCCTATCAAAGCACTCGATTACCTAGAGGTAGTTAACTTCATCCCCCCTTCTTAAAACATTATAAGTTATCTAATGTATTTAAATTTCTTTGTTATTATTCTTAGTTTTTTGGAGCAAAACACATGTTAATGGATCCATCTTTGAACATTGGATCAAAACACATAATAAATATTGGTTATTTCATTGAAAATCATTTGGACATGTGGGTGTGAAAGCTTCTCAAGTGATGGACTACATGGTTGATCAAGTTGAGAGCTTTTGCTACAGTCGGTTTTACAAGAAAGGATTTGCAAAACAGTCCAGATTGTCATCGTCGTGCTCAAATTAAAGACATTGATTCAAAGACTACTATTGCCTACTTAGCTGCAAAAGCAGAAATAGATCCTGGATTGTGTTTTGAATATCTATTGGTTGATGAAAATAAACTACTCTACTTATTTCAGACTGATTATGGTCATAGATATGATTATAAATGTTTTGAAGAGTAAACGACATGTGTAAGATTTCAATTCATACAATCAACATGTATACAATTACAAAATCTCAATTCATATACATGTTCATAAGTATTTATAAAGATAACGGAAGCAAATCAATACTACTAACCTCCCGCCATAACAAATTGTTGTAGATTGTCTCTTGGTCTTCACAATTTTGTCTTCTCACAGTCTGCAGGTTCTTCCAATTCAATGTGATTTTCCAATACAATGGTTTTGGGATAAAATAAATCGCTTGAATTAGGGACCTGTAACTGCTCCCTTTTATGCAATAGTCTTTCCATCAAAGACAAATGCCAAGAGATAACTGCTGCAGTTTAAAAACTCTTGTGAAATTACAAATAAAGGTTTTGGACCAAATAGTAAATATGTAATTAAAATTTTAACATTCTCTCACTTGATCCAAACTTTTATATCACAGTCCACACATAGTAACTTTACATTCTCTATGTTTAATCAAAAAAATAAAATTGGATGAATCGCAGCGGCAAGTCCCTTTTAAACAAGTATTACATTTCATGTATTACTATGCAATTTTCTTCTTCTAAATAAACTCGTTATTGTGAATTATTCACTATGAACAAACCTCAAATGTCCATTCCAGGTCCTCTAGAATGTTTGTTATTCTCTAAGCAAAATGTATACAACTTAAAGAGAAAACAAACTAAAATACAAAGTTTCAGAGAACGAAAGTATTACCTTTCAAAGTCACAAAGCGAGACGTAGTCCCATTTGAACTACAAGGTCCTTGAACGTCTTTGGTGACAGGCCTTTTGTCAAAGGATCAACAATCATTTGCTAGATATGTATGTGTTCAATGAGCACTTCTTTGGCTTTAATGTGCTCCCTTATTGCTAAGTACTTAATGTCGATGTGTTTACTTCAACTTCCACTCTTATTATTCTTAGCAAAGAACACAGCAGCTGAATTGTCACAATACAACCTTATTGGCCTAAAGATAGACTCAGCAACTCCAAGCCCAAGAGTGAAACTTTTCAACCAAATGCCCTGTGTAGTAGCCTCAAAATAGGAAACAAACTCAGCTTCCATGGTAGAAGTGGCAACCAAAGATTGTTTGGCACTTCTCCAAGATATAGCACCTCTAGCTAACATAAAAACATATTTGGATGTTGATTTCCAAGAATCAACACAACAAGCGAAGTCTGAGTCTGAATATCCGACAACCTCCAAAATGTCAGACCGTCTATATGTAAGTATAAAACTTTTAGTTCCTTGAAGATACCTCATGACCTTTTTTGCAGCTCTCTAATGATCTAAACCTGAATTACTTTGATATCTTTCTAACATGCCAACTACAAAAGCAATATCAGGTCTAGTACAAACCTAAGCATACATTAGGCTTCCAACAGCTGAAGCATAAGCAATGGTTTTCATTTGTTTCTTTTCAATCTCAAGCATAAGACATTGGTTTAGATTGAACTTGTCAATTTTAACAATGGGTGCTACACTGGGTGAACAATCCTTCATTCTAAATCTATCAAGAATTTTATTAATATAAGCTTCTTGAGATAGTCCCAAAACATGTTGAGACTTATCACTATGAATTTTAATGCCAATGACATAAGACATCTCACCCATATCCCTCATACTAAACTGTTGAGAGAGAAATTGTTTCACCTCATGCAACAAACCCAAATCATTGGTTGCAAGCAGAATATCATCTACATATAACACAAGAAAGATGATTTTGCTCCCACTAACCTTATGGTATATAGACCAATCCTTAACATTCTCTACAAAACCAAATAAAGAGATAACAGTGTGAAATCTTAAATACCACTACCGGGAGGCTTGTTTAAATCCATAAATGGACTTTTGAAGCTTGCAAACCAAATGCTGACCATCACTTGAAATGAACCCATCAGGTTGTTTCATATAAACCTCTTCCTCCAAATCTCCATTGAGGAAAGCTATTTTCGTATCCATTTGATGTAAATCTAAAGCGAAATGGGCAAATAATGCCATAATGATGCAGAAGGAATCCTTTTTAGAAACTGGAGAAAATGTTTCTTAATAATCTATCCCTTCCCTTTGCGTGAACCCCTTGGCAATAAGTCTAGCCTTGTATCTGTCAATGTTGCCTAATGAATCACTTTTGGTTTTAAATACTCATTTATAACCAATAGGTTTTTTTCCCATAGGTAACTCAACAAGGTCCCAAACTTTATTATCCGCCATAGAAGTTATCTCGTCAATCATGGCATTACACCACAATTCAGATTTACTATCAT